ATGTATGCTGTCACCTCCAATTTCCAAAAGGTCAGAACTAAGTAGGCCCAAATTCTAGTACATGTGACCTGACCAAATTGATATAATATGTAGGGGTTCATGGTATATATCTTCCGTTTCTTCCTCTCGCTATCTTTCTGTATGTGGCAGACAGAAAAGTAAAGACTTCTTGACTCTTTTCATCTCTTTTTTTCCTTCTTCCTGTTGCACAATGGTGTGGAAAGCCCACCAGTCATCCTGATGACCATCGCCAGAAATGATTCAACATGTCCAAAACTGAGCTCATTATCTTTCCCTCCAAATCACCCAACTTCCAAGTTTCTGTATTTATGTCAAAGGCACCAAGATTCTTTCAGTCTTCCAGGTGTGTAACCTTGGCATTATCATTGACTCCTCATCCTCCCTTATCCCATATATCTAATCAGTTGCCAAATCTTATTCTTTATCATTCCACACCATCTCTCACATATGATTTATTCTCTCTGCTCACATAGCAGAGGTCCCCTTGGTTGGGGACCTCATCACCTCTTATTTAGTCTATTGCAATAGCCTCCTAATGGGCCTCCCTGCCTCCAGTCTTTTCCTGCTCCAATCTATCCTACACACAGTTGCCAAAATAATTTTCCTTAAGTGAAGATATGACCATGTCACTCCTGTTTTCAAACTCCAGTAGCTCCCTATTGCCCCAGGATAAAATATCAGCTTCTCTCTTTATATTTTAAATCTCTTAAAAACCTAGTTTCAGTCTATCTTTCTGTCTTCATTCTACATTACTCCTATTCTCATGCTCTGAGATCTGGCCTTTTCTCTATTCCTCATATGTGGCACTCTGTCTCCATCTCTGTGCCTTTGCAGTGGACATTCCTTCTGCTGGAAGTAACTCTCTCCTTACCTCTACCTCATAGAATGTCTCCCTTCAAAATGCAGATCCAGTATCACCTTTTGTAGGAAGCCTTTCCTGATCCCTCAATGGCTAGCGCTCTCTGTTGTTTTTGTTCAATTGTTTCAGTCGTGTCCGACTGTTCATGACCCCATTTGGGTTTTTCTTGGCAAAGATACTGGTGTGATTTGCCATTTCCTTCTCTAGTCCATTTCATAGATGAGGAAACTGAGGCAAACAGGGTTAAGTGACTTGCTCAGGGTCACACAGCTAGTAAGTATCTGAGGCTGGATCTGAACTCAGGTCTTCCTGACTCTATACCTGGTACACCATATACTGTACCACCTAACTGCCCCAAATCATCCGTAATCATTTTGTTTTTAACTACCTCGTTTTAGTTTGTATTTATTCTCTTTATGTTTATTCTGTATATACTTAAATGTGTGCTTGATGCTTCTCAGATTAGAATGGAAGATCCTTGAGAACAGGGAATGTTTCATTCTTAATGTTTGTATCCTTTATATCTGGCACATAGGAAATACTTCATAAAGCCTGTTTTTTCATTATTGATTGGTTGAAGAGCACTGACCCCCCCCCCCAAGAGATCTGAAGTGTTGCAATCCCCTCATTCGTAGATGCATGCATTAGAGAGGTATAAGCAAGATGTTATGTGACTCTGAGAAAGTAGTCAAGGTCATCACTGACTAGGGAGACCAGGCAGGTCTTCTGAGTTGGAATTGCTGACATATATTTCTTAAAGTCTCCCTCATCACATTTTAAATAACTTTTGGCAGTGGAGAGGGTGATAGAAGAAATTCTATATGGGTCCCATGATGCTTCACATGGAGCACTGATCCTGCGTGCTCCAGGGTGGTTATAGCCCTACTTGGGGATATAGGAAGATTTTTTTTTTCAAATGAGGGCAGGGAAAACCAGGTACTTTAGAAGTGGTTCTCCTAGGATTTGGATATAGGCTATATTTGGCTTTTTGTTTCATGTTGAGGTAACAGTCTTCGATAGAGTATAAGAATATGTATATTTATGGCAATAAGGCATCAGTGGGCATTCGTTCATAGAAGCTCAGTGAATAGTGCAATTAGAAGGCACTATAGGGATCAACTAACTTAACCCCATCATTTTACAAAAGGGGAAATTGAGATTTATGCTATTCATTTGGAAGATATTTCTTGACTGCCCTGCCCTCTGAGAACTTATTATCTTATTGGGGAGACAATAAGTGCACACAGGAAATAGTTAACTAAGCATATTAGGAAGGAGGTGAAGAGGTGCTCCAATGAGCTGTCCAGACGATAAGCTTTAAAAGTTGAGAAGAGAGAGCCCAGGCAGTATTTTACTGGAGGGTTTTGGGTGTGAAGCGAAAAGCATAGGGCTTGAATGCTAACTCTCTTCCTTACTATTTGGGATCAGGGGTGGGGAACTTGCAGCCTTGAGGTCACATGTGACCCTCTAGGTCCTCAAGTATGGCACTTTGACTGAGTCCAAGTTTTTCAGAACAAATCCTTTTATTAAAGGGATTTGTTCTGTGAAGTTTGGGTTCAGTCAAAAGACTGCACTTGAGGACCTAGAGGGCCACATGTGGCCTGGAGGCTGTAGGTTTCCCAGCTCTGGGTGAACCAGGGCAAGTCATTTAATGCCCTGGACCTAAGCTTTCCCATCTGTATAATGAGGAGGGTTGAACAACATGATTTCTTCTAATTATAAATTCTGTAATTCTAAATAATTGGACAAAGCGGTAACAGAAAGTAGGATGGTCAGCTTTGGTGGCAAAGGTTGGATTGCAAAGGCTGAGAATTGTTCATCAATTACTGGGGCCTAATCTTGTCTAATCTAACTTCGTTCAGCCACCATTTCATTTTCTCACCTCTTGAAATACTTTGTTTTATAATTCTAATGCATTAGTCATGCAACAATCTGTATTATACTTATCTGTTTTAATCTCATTCTCCGACTAGATTATGATCTCCTAGAGGACAAGGATGAAGTGTTATCTAATTTTGTATATATATTCTGTATATAGATCTGGAACTAAGGGCTGGTGATCTAGGCTTTGTCTTGGGGCACTAAATTTAGAGAGTGCTGAGATAGAAACAGAGATTAGCAAGGATAATTAAAATAAGGAGATTTGTTATGACAAGCTATAAGCAGGAGTCTACCCTGTCCTGCCCATCTCCCCTGCTATCTCCATGGCTTTCCAGCATGCTGATGGCCCCAGGCATGGTTTGAGGTGCTTGGGAGCAAAAATCCCTACTTTTATCTCTGTATGAAGATAATGGGTATTTACCATGTGTTTGTTGCTAAAATTAGGTTTTGTATTCTAAATATATTATCAGGGAAATATTAGTATGTGTTTTTTTCCTATGCATTTGGGATTGTCCCCAAAGCTAATCCAGGTCATCCAGACAAAGAAGATTGGAAGTTCATGGTATATGCACCCTTCCACTTTAGAAATAGCTCTCCAAATGCCCCGATCTCCTTAGAATGAACCAAAAATTCAGTTCCTGTGGCTCTCTTCAGGGGATATTGGTCATGTGATAGATTATTTTTCCCACTGAATTGATTTATTGCTTCACTAAGCCTGAATCAATTAGTTGTTTGACATCATACAGATACAAGTTGAAGGTGAGGGTGAGGAGCAAAGCAAGGAGTTGCTTTGTGACCACACTGGCTGGAACAATAAAGACCTGCTCTCTGATGTAATCTAGCCTATTCCTCCAATGAAAAATTAAACTTTAAAAAAGTCATAAAAATCATAAAAGCTTGAAAGTTGTAAAAAAAGCTAAAAGTCATAAAAGCTTGACATTGGTTCTTATGGATTTCTTTAAAGCGTGTTCATATTGTCTTCTCAAAATCATACTATTTGAAGAGTTGTTTTGCTGGTTCTTAAAATTTGCCATTGGTGTTTGTTACATAGAACTTGGGAGAGTTTTGCTTTTTCTTTATCTCTATGTGGAATGAAGAAGATTTCCATCTTTTCTTCTTGAATGAAGGATGATACAGTTGATAATGAGATGATCACAGTTAGGAAAAGAGCATCTCGTGATGTTCGTTCTGGCCCTGCCAGGCTTAGGGTCAGAGTTGCTAAGCAGAGGGGCTAGAGGCAGGACTTGGGTTGGGATCAGAAATATGAGTCAATATCTGAGCATGGTATATTTCATGAGGCAAGAGAAGGATGTGGCCTGGGGTCAGGCAGATGGTTCAAAACTGGGAGAACAACCAAAATTGGGGTTTCATGAGATGGCTAGATTAGTTGGTATCTAATAGGTCAGTTTTATGCTTTGGCTTGAGAAGCCAACCCCACCCCCTACCAAATGAACTTCACTTGGACAGTTCCCCATTGGCTCCATGTGTAACATTGTCCTCAGGAATAGTGGCCATCTCTAATCAGTCCTGGCTTAGGCACAAGGGAAGCTCCACATTTGCTTTAGCATAATGTTTCTAACCTCATTACTTTGTTTTGAGTCAGGCCTGGGTAAGGGGTGGGGGTCCATCAATTTTCCTTGCTCTGATTTCTTCAGTGTGAGTACTCTATGGATGAAGAGCACAACCCTTCTCTGCCTTAGGAGATGGTCTTTGGGGATTGCTATGGTCAAAACATTTCACATGACTATAACGTAGTGGGCATTTTCCCTTTCACTCTAGCCTCTAGTCAGATTTTCTTTCAGGAATATATTGTTCCATGACTGACCTGACCCCAATCCTTTCACCTACATGAAGATCCATGCATGTGTGGGGAAGGAGGCAACTCATTTGAATTCAGGCTCTACTATTCTTGTACTGTGGCTTTAAATTTGAACAGCAACCCACTCTGAGCTGAAGTTACTGCTCTTGTGTGAGTGCTGGCAGAAAAAAAAGCAAGCACACAGTTGTGGAACACAAAATCTGTCAGTGTCAGTCCTCTGTCACCGATTCCTCAACCCTGTTATGTTCTGGTTCACCTAAGTGATAAATGGCCCCTTTGTTCTACATTTAGTATTAGAAAGAAGAAGAAGAACAAGAAGAAAGAATCAGATCTAGATTAAGCAGGGACAGAGACCCATTTCATTGCACAGTACTTTAATATTCCTGAGATCCCTGGCATGACAGGGCTACTTCTCTTAGTAGCAGTCTCTCCCGGAACAGGGCTCTGTGCTGCCTTTGTTTCATCTGATCTCCTAGCTGAATAAGAGATGGTCATTTATCCTCAGTGCTCCCGGTTCCTGCTGGATTTCTATTTCTGAGAGAGAAACTGACCAGGAGAAGGAAAAAGGTGGAAGCTGATTTTGGACAGTGTTGTTCAGTGTGTGTTTACAGGCAGGACTGACTTACTCAGCAAATCCTGCTCTGATGAGCTCCAGCCAATGAAGTGCTTATATCCCGGCTTGCTTGGGGGCTTCTGAGTTTGAGCTGCATGCAGAAATGTAAGCAGCTCTTCCTGGTGCTGATGGCAAAATGGGGTCCACGGCCAGTTCTTCCTCAGGCTTCCTGGCTTTGCAGATCTGGGAGAGATCCTACATAAACCTATCGGTGATGTAGCCTGCCTGGAAAGCCAAAAGAATCCTCATGGATTCAGGAAACTGGTTTTTGATTTAGAATTATTTTTTTTTTCTGGAAGATGAAATGCTTTTCTCGTTACCTGCCTTACATCTTCCGACCTCCGAACACCATCCTCTCTTCCAGCTGCCACACAGAAGGTACCGACCAGAGAGGGCGGGTGTCTGGGAGGGTGGAAAGCAAGTGGATGGGTGTATTACTTCTCCCAAAGCTCTGCTGACACTGCTTTTCACAGATTCTAGATGACTGCTGTTCTTGGCAAAAGCTCGCTGGTGACAGACTTCGATTTGCTTATAAGATCAGCCTGACTGCCTTCTAGATAGAGATTCTTCCCTCAAGGAAAGACTTAAAAAAAAAAAGCATGATTATGTCAAAAAGGTGGTTCCTGACATGGATGGGAAAATCATTCTAGAATGTTTCTGCCAGTTCTCATTTGATCACACTTAGCATGCAAACAAGTCATCAAAACTGGTGTCAAGACAGATTTTCACTAGGTTTTGCCAGGCACGTTTTCTTAGGCTTTCAAGTTTGTCACTGTCTGTGTAATAACTTGGGGCATGCCCAAGACAGCACTTAACCAAATAGATTTGGGCTTTTGACCTAACGGTATAGTGTTTGTTGGGTGTTGGAGGTGTTCACTTGGAATCTGTACTCGTGTTGCACACTGCAAAGGTCAGAGCCGACTTTCTGCACTTGCCTGAAATTTATTTTCATAGGAGCTGAAGTCAATACTTTTAGAGACCATCATACTTAAACTTTATATTGCTTTGTAATATGGCTAGATCCAGATTAGTGCAAATAATGAATCCCCTGAAGTGGCTGAATTATTATTTACGGCTTTGAGGGAATGTCTCCAATACTGTTTTCTAGTCTAGCATGCATTTTGTATGTGTGTGTGTACTCTGTGTTTGTGTGAGTGTGTATACTCTAAACATTTTTAAAGATCACCCTCTACAGAGCACCGTAGGCTTCAGTATCCTCATTGTAACTGTTTGTCCACTTGTCCCTTATGCACCACTGGCATCAGATTGGTCTGTTTTTTCTCTCCCTGCTACCCCTGAAAAGGAAGGATTTTGAGAACAGGAACTCTTGCTAGTGAATCACCTGGCATCCTGTCAGCCGTAAGGGTTGCCAGTATAATCAGTGCCTGGTATAGGTATGGACTTAGAAGGGAGAGCCCCAAAGAGTCAGTGTGGTCTTAAGAAAAGTAGAGCCAGAAGTGAGCAGCATAACCAGTATTTATGGAAAACTTGTGAATGACTTTCCTCCTTATTATAAAGGAAGGAGCCTGGATATAAGGCTGTGCATTTTGAGTGGGAGAGGAATGAAATATAGAGTACAATGCAGCTAGGCTCTTTTCCATCAGAACCTCCCGGGAAATATCACAGGAGATTGGGCCGACTGTTAGCTTGCCAGTGATCCTGACTTTTAAAAAATGTATTTTGAGAAATGTCATTTGGGTTTTTTAATCTCCTCCTCTCTCTATAATCTTCTTTCGATGGCCAAGAGAAATAACTCCTTCTCTGTAGCAGAGAGACACAACTCTTGGGTTAGGTCTGTAAGATGCCAAAACAAGCAGTTCACTGTCACATACAATCAGTTTCCACTTTCCATCAACTTTATTTCTACAAGAGTGCTCGCATCCCTTCCCTTTTCCCTATTCTAACTATCTCACCCTCGTACAGGCCTTCTTTCCCCCCCTTGTGGGACTAATATGACAAATATCCTTTCTTTCCAATTCATCCTTAATTTCACCAATAGAATAATCTTTCTCATGCATAGATCCAGTCATTCAGTCATTCAACAAACATTTATTAAGGACCTGCTTTGTGAGAGGCTGGGAATAGTCGTGATACTCCTCTGCTTAGAACCCTGATATGGTTCCCTATTGCCTGTGGAACAAAATTCAAAGTAGCTTTCTGTTCAACGCCCTCTGTGATTAGGTATCAGTCTTTTGAACAGGGCTGCTTGAAGTCTCCCTTATATGCCACACCCTCATTTTCTTTTGTGCTTTTGCTCATGTTGTTTCCTGTGTCTGGAATGTCCTCATCCCCATGCCTGTCCCGCTATTCTCTACCTGTTGAATTCCTTTAAAGAAATTTAAACCCACCCTTTAAAGTTCAACTCAAATATCATCCCCTCTGTAAAACCTTCACTGATTCCCTCAATTGGTAATGTCCTTGTCCTCTCAGATCTCCCACAGTGAGTGCTCTGTTTGCATCTGTCATGCAATCATATATAATTTTATATTGTGGTAATTGATGTTTATGCTATACTCCTATAACACTATGAGCTCAATGAGGGGAGAGACCATCTTTTATATTTCCTTGTGATATACCTAGGTCTTGTAAATTAAAAAAATCCCCTGAAGTCGTTGAATTATTCAAATTTGAGCTGCCTATTTGGAACCAAATATCATATTTTACAAAATTATGATTTTAAGCAATGCGAATTTGGATAAATGTGACCACTTCAGGGGATTCATTGTTCACGCTAATTGGGACCTAGCTGTACTTCCTAAGTTCTTAGATTTACAGTTGAGCCCAGCCAACTCATTTTATAAACAAAGAAAGTGAAGCCAAAAGAAACAAAGTGATTTGTCAGAGATCCTGCAGATAGGAACTGATGGAGCTGGGACTGGGATATATGTTCACCAATAACAGAACTACGAACTTTCCAATAGGCCATTCTCTGTGCTCTGCTATAGGTATTTAAGAAATGTTTGTTTCATTGAATTGAATTCAATAGGAAAAAATACCTGTCAAACTGATTTTGCATCTTGCAGACAAAAATAGTCTGATGGGTTGACAGAATCTAATTGCTTTTTTAACTGAATTAACTTATCCATCTAGCAAAAATAGCCAAACCAGTTTGTATATATAGACAGTCTTGACAGCCTCAGTGACTCTCATCATTGGGAACAGAAGTAAAAGAAAACAGCCCTAAGGTGAAAGAAGAATTTAGTGTCAACTGTTCTGGAACAATCATCAGAACTCACTCTTCAAGGATCTATCAATTCATCTGTGAAACCTCTGTGGCTACTTCTTGCATCCATCCAGACCATAACCCCTAAGGCAAAGGCCTTAGAAGATGGCACAAAATGCATCCCACTGAAGCCAACTTTTTGATGAGCTCCTGTCTCTCCATGGTTTTGCACTGTCCCCTACCCTTGGGGTGCTCACCCTCCTCACTTCTGCCTCTTAGAATCTTTGACTTCCTTCGAGACTCAGCTCAAATGCCATTTTCTCAGGAAGCCTTTTCCAGTTTACTTAACAATGTCTTCCTCTCTAAAGTTACTTTTGCATTTACTTCGTATGTATCTTGTATGCACTTATTCATATACATTCTGTCCCCCTCTGCTTCTGCTTTAGAATGTAAGCTCCTTAAGAGCAGGAACTGATTTTGCTTTTTCTTTGTATTCTCAGCATCAAGAAGAGTGCTAGGGACATATTAAGTGCTTAATAAATATTGATCAATTTTGCTTTTTCTTTGTATTCTCACCATAAGAACAGTGCCTGGCACATAGTGCTTAATATATTTATTGACTGACTAATTGATCAGTTGGCTTGTCCTCCACTAATAGGCCTAAAGGCTATACATTGAGCTGCTGCATCAAGGTATGTTCTAATGGCAAAACCAGGACTTGTTAAATATTTGGACTAGGTTTCTGAAATTTCGTATGAAATGAGTGAGCATTTCTTTTTCTTTAAAACTTTTCCAACGTGGTGAGAATATCACATAACTGACTTGGCCTTTGTTTTCTTTTATGACTGGCAGCACCACCCCACTGGCTTGTTTGGAGAAGCTATTTTATATTACCTCACATCATTATATCTTACTTAATTATGAAAAGGAATTGGGGATAATTTGTTCAAAGCCAAAGAAGTAGGACTCAGATGAGCAACCTCAGAGAAGCCGTCTGGAACTCCTGTAAATACTTTGACTACCCAGATGTAGGTGTGATGGAAAGGATCACCATGGTCAGAAGACTGGAGTTTTAATTTCAGCTTTGTCATTAAATATAAAGATGACAGAGAATGCTTCGTTTGAAAGGGTCCTTGGGGGCAGCTAGGTGGCACAGTGGATAGAGCACCAACCCTGGAGTCAGGAGGACCTGAGTTCAAATCCAGCCTAAGACACTTGACACTTACTAGCTGCATGACCCTGGGCAAGTCACTTAACCTCATTGCCTAGCCAAAAAAAAACCACTCAAAAACAAAGACAAAACAAAGGGCCCTTGGAGGCTAATATGAATCAAAATCTCTTTTATGCTATATACATAGTTTATCATCCAGTCCACCATGTAAAAATTGATCACCTCCTGCAGTACACCATCCTGTTTTTGGACAATTCTAATAGCTAGGCAGTTTATCTGCCTCTCGGTAATATTCACCTAGTTAAAACACACTCCTAGTTCTACCCTCTGAAGCTAAGTAGAATAAATCTAATCTCTTTTCTTTCTTTTTTCGTTAGAATATCTTAAATTTTTAATTCTTTCTTAATGGGTTTACGTATATCACTTTTGATTAAGAAAACAATATAGGGGCAGCTAGGTGGCACAGTGGGTAGAGCACCGACCCTGGAGTCAGGAGGACCTGAGTTCAAATCCAGCCTCAGACCAAAACTTGTCACCTACTAGCTGTGTGACTCTGGGCAAGTCACTTAACCCCAATTGCCTTAAAAAAAAAAAGAAAGAAAACAATAGAAATTTAGTAACTGCCACAATTTAACACCAGACAGGTAGACAGAGATCTGTCACTTTTCTATAGAATCCTGCTTTGTAGGACATTTGGGAGGAGCTGCTCTGGGGTCTTGTTCCCCTTGAGTGGAATTAAGCATGGAAGATTTTCACCTTTGGTTGCTTTTTCCGTGTTTCTTTGAACTCTTCAGTGTTCTTAACAGAATCTTTTTATGGTCTTTAGACTATTGTTTAGCTAGGGCATCCTGAAAGGATTTGTTTTGTCTTGAGGTCATTCACAGGTTCTATAAGGGACTGGTTGACTTGATCAGTTTGGGTTGCTAGCTTCCAGTTCTTAGCACTGGTAGATAGACCTGCCCTTTTTAATTGATGCAAGGGAGTGTAAATCTGTGTTTTAAATATGACTTTAGGTGGTTTGAATAGACATTCTGCTAAGAAGTT